CTTATTTACAGGGAAGCTCTGACTCAATTTTACGAAATCAGAAAAAATATATAATTAAAAACTTATTAAAAATAACAAAGAAGCAAAATAAAAAAATAATAACAAAATATCATCAAAAATAAAATAATAATATTCAAACTTTCTTCATAATTATCTTTTTTTAGTAACCTGACGCAAATAGAATGGTTTGTATGTGTATATTATAATTTTTTTATTTGATTTTTCTCTAAATTAACCGAGCGAAGCCGAAGCGGACCACTGCTTACTTATAAAATCGACAGAAGAAAATAAACATTTTGAGTTGTAAAACGTAGGGGCCAATGATAGTGACAACACTATTAATATATAATGTACTGTTCATTCCGCAAGCATATAATGTAGCAATATAATGTGGCATTCATTCATTTTTACCGGTGGTAGGACCTCTTGTGAGTCCGCACGGGTAGGTACCACCACCCTGCCTATTTCTGCCGTGAAGCAGTAATGCGTTTCGGTTTGAAGAGTGGGGCAGTCGTTGTAACTATACTGAGACCTTAGAACTTAAGAACTCAAGATGGGTGACGCTTTTACGTTGTAGATGTCTATGGGCTCCAGTAACCATTTAACACCAGGTGGGCAGTGAGCACATCCACCCATCTAAGCAATAAAAAATAAAAATTACACGAACATCATAAACATTATTAATTTAACAATAAATAACAAGACCTAGCAGTCACATGTTGGAAAATGCATTCATAGCAGTATACTACACAAACACACACACAAGCGCACGCACACACATCGCACGGAATTTGCCGATAGTTAAAAACGTTTACATAAAACCAGATCCGTGATTTATTTTAATTGTTGGCGTTGTACGTATTCTTTCTAGATATCAAATAGCATATTTTGTAATTAAAGCAAAACGAAGTAAACTTTTATCTATACTATCTATACTCTATACTAATATTATAAAGAGGAAAGATTTGTTTGTTTGTTTCGAATAGGCTCCGAAACTACTGGACCGATTTGAAAAATTCTTTTTCCATTAGAAGCCGACATTGTCCCTGATGAACATAGGCTACTTTTTTTATTTTATTTTTATTTTATTTTTTTGGTTTCATGGGTGTTTTAATGTTTCCGAAGCGAAGCGAGGGCGGGTCGCTAGTATAGATAATATTTTTTATCCTACTCAAATAAGACTACTAGATTACCTATATACTTATAAAATGGCAAAGTGATCGAATTATTGTATGTATTGTCAATCCTGATTAATCTATGCAAAAGAGGATATGAAGGTTAAGCTGTCAAATTTCATCAAATAGATTAACAAAACTGCTCTAAATATACCACGAACGTAACAATTACAGCTAATAAATGCCGATACCCTTAATATTCTTTGAAAAAGTTTTTAATAGCGCCTAACTCCTAAGAGAGAGTGCCCAAAGACAGAAACAATGCTTGACGGTTTCATTTTCATTTTATTTCTAAAATATTTTAACGGATTCTAAAAATGGCGGAAAAGTTAGTAAATTTGTAGTTGGTAAAATAATAAATATGATAAATTTTCAAAAATTATATGAACATGGCAATGACGGAAAGGTTTACAAGTTTGTGGTTGGTAAAATAATAATTATTATTAATTTTCAAAAATTATATTTCAGCTGCGAATATAGTATATTAAAGTACAAAATTCTTTTACATGGATTAAAAGAGCACACATTTTCTCTATGTACAAAATCAATGTTCATTATCAACAATGTATAAAACCATTACGTAACGTGGCAACAAAAACATCATAAGTTGAAGTTTTCACTTCAAAAAGACTTTTTATAATCATTAGCCAAGCGGAACCCCTTTGCTGTACAAATTTGCAATTCTATATTATTTGAGTCCTAAATATTAATGTAGCATGAAAATTTGATGTTTTCCAACATAATTTTGGCCGACAAAGCGATCGGAGTATCAGGAACGCATTGTCATTTCAAGGCAACTAAGAAAATTCGACGCTTACCCCGCTCTCTCATTTCAAAATAAAATCTTCTTCTTCTTCTTCTATATATAAAAATGAATTGCTGTTCGTTAGTCTCGCTAAAACTCGAGAACGGCTGGACCGATATGGCTAATTTTGGTCTTGAATTACTTGTGGAAGTCCAGTGAAGGTTTAAAAGGTAGAAAAATATGAAAATGCTTGGAATTAAATAAAAATAACAATTTTCTTTTTCCTTTGATGTGTCCCCCGTCGGAAGGATTTCTTTCGTTTGATTTAAGTTTATTTTATACAAAAGCTTAGGCCTTTTATTTATCGATTGAGACACTACGAAGTCTGCCGGGTCAGCTAGTATATAATATATTACGGTCCGCCATCAGCAGACTTAAACCGGACCACAATATAGCGTTGAGCAATGCATGTATATGTATGTAAATGATTTAAGTCAATATTACATTGACTCCACTTCCTAGTTTGTTAAAGCTATCTAATAACGGATTTATAAATGTTAATATATTTATGATCTAACACAATTATTATATTACGTTAAATACCAGACAAACTTATTACTATATATGTTTATTAATGTCATGCTCGCCGAGAGTATTTTTCTTGCGTTCTATAAGTAAAAGAGTATCAATATAAATATGTATTATTAATTTATATTGATCTGAAGACGTATTGTCTCGTTATAGTATGTAATAGCGTAGTTAATTCAATTTAATATTCATTAAATAGTGTACTTTACAATTTAAATTATTTAAGATCATTGGGTTTGCGTTATTATAAAATGATATTCTTTTTTATAATTATACGCGTTGGTATATCTAATTACCATGCCTAATTTTTTTTAAATTAAAAATATAAAAAAACATATAAATAATTCTATTCATTCACTGGTGGTTGGAGCTCTTGCGAGTCCGCGCAGGTACCAATTTTTCTAATGAAATACGTACTCCACAAATGTTCACGGTTGACTTCCACGGTGAAGGAATAGCATCGTGTAATAAAAACCAAACTCGCAAAATTATAATTTGCGTAATTATTGGTGGTAGGACCTCTCTGAGTCCGCGCGGGCAGGTACCACCACCACCCTGCCTATTTCTGTCATGAAGCTGTAAGGCGTTTCGGTTTGAAGGGTGGGGCAGCCGTTCTAACTATACTTGAGATCTTAGAACTTATATCTAAGGTGGGTGGCGCATTTACGCTGTAGATGTCTATGGGCTCCAGTAAGTACTTAACACCAGGTGGGCCGTGAGCTCGGCTACCCATCTAAGCAATAAAAAAAAAACACATCACATCGCTGACAATATCAGCAATAGGACCAGTGGATGTGATAACGATAACTGGTGGTGGCATAAATTAGCTAATTCGCGTAAACCAGCAATAGCCAAACCTGACCTTCCGACTTCTATCTCAGCCTAAAGATCAAACCACTGGATGGACCAGGAACGAAGCTGTTTAGTGGGTCCGAGTCTCCACATACCACCACAAGTTTTCAACGCACGAAGCTACGCCATTAATATGCCGACCAAAAACAAAAACAAAACAGTACCAATTCAGCAGATTCCGATCGCAAAAACACAATTCAACGCAATACTTTAAAAAAATAAAAATACACGAGTCATATCGCCATTTGAATATACACACACGCACACTCACACAAAACTATTTTGTATACAAACGTTTGTTATGTTAATAATACATACTAACGCACACAAGTATGTTGATTACGTAACCACAGTGAGACAACGGGCGGCATTATGTAGGGACGTGACCTAAACCACTATGGTATGTGTTAACTCCATTATTTATCAACCAAATTAATGAGGTTTTTGTAATTTAATCGCGCTGTTAAAAATTAAACAGGATGGACAGCGCTGTTTAATATTATATTTTAAACGATCGTAGTCGTTAGAGAAGATATTCCAGTGAGAGAGTGTTTATTTGCATTAGAAAACCGTTTTGGTCGGAATGTAACTTTTCCGAATTAGTACTTTATATGCATATTTTATGTATGTTTTTTTGACGTGACGACGTCTTATAATTCGATGGAGCCGGCTGCATGCACGAAAAAACATGACTCATTGAGGCGTTCCATTTAAGGCTTGAAGTGCAAGCGAGAGCGCGCAACGAGCGACAAAGAGGCACAATGGGCCTCCGCGTTCGGTAGCGTTCGACATCTGTCTCTCTCCTACTTGAGTGAGCGATGCATCCGCGTGGACAGCTGCTATATAATAATACATTTACATGTTTTCGTCAAGTATGAAGTTCAGTGAAAAGTGAATGTGGTGTTAATTGTTTATAGCAACGATAATTGCGATAATTGAAAAATGAACCCATTCCATCAGTATTTTCTTATGATTAGTCACGTTCAACTATCGTCAGTAAACCGACTTTACAGACAACCGTTTTTTTTTTTTTTCCAGGATAGATAATATGATCTGCGATACGATTTACGTTGAAGCAATTTTTTTTTCGCCACAATGCAGTTCAAGAAGCAAGGCTCATAAACGAATTGGATAGTTGAATGACCTTTATTCCTTCTTAAAAGTCAACCTAAGCGTTTGAATTTCACTTTAACCAGAGAACAGACTGCAGTAATACATAGTAACGTCAATGTTCACGCGCCAAACAAATTGTACATACACTAAATACTCTGCGGAAAATAGAAGAGTACCTACATGCATAAGTCAGAAATTTCTAGGACTTTTAAAATATATTTTTATCAATCCCCAAACGTACACAGATTTAAAATTCAATTTTAAATTCGATTGGTTTTAATAGGTACAAAGTTGGAATATAATCAGACGAAACCTTTTTTTGTTGTAAAATGTATTAAAAACTTACCTCTGAATTGAATTCCCTGAAGTCAACATTTTTTGGGACTTTTAAAATATTTGTTTATCAATGTACATCGCTAGACGTACATAGATTTAATATTAAAGTTTAAATTCTATTGGTTTAATAGGTACAAAGTCGGAATATAACCAAACCAAAGCTTTTTTTGTCAAATGTATTGAAAAGTTACCTCTGAATTGAATTCCCTCCATGGCGCCAGTTGGGTCTCCGTTTCCCGTGAAGACACGAACAAAGCCACCTTCTGCGGCCGCAAGGCTCGTAGGAACATGGGTAAAGAGGCGCCGAGGACCAAAACATCTTCAGGAGAAGCTCCTACGGCGCTGCGTATTATACTCTTCGATTCAGATCTGACGACAAGAGAAAACTAAAGTCTTTCGGTAATATTCCAACAACTGTTTCGATAGCTATGATACAAGATATATCGTCGTTGTCAAACCTTTTTTTTTCTTTTCCTATCTATACTGATAGCCTTGAGAGGCTATTTCAGCTTCACCCTAACGTGTGTAGGTGAGCTCGCGGGGCTCAAACCGGAGTGTTGCTAACACTGACCCTAGCAAGAGCAGTGCTTCATAGAATCTACCACCGGATCGGAAACGCGACCCACTGAGAAGATCCGGCGAGAAACTCAGTGAGCTAACAACAGTTATCAAACCAAAATCTGCTATGTGCATTTTTTGAGATTTTTACTTTTTGACCTTTACGTATAGTTTACAGCCCTATCTACCGTATAAAAAAACTGTTATGTGTCTATAGCTTTAATATTTACCTATAGCTTTCATCTGATATAGTTCTTAAAAATTCACCTTCATATAAAATTTTATACGAAAATGTTTTTACTCGTTAATTCAAAATAGAGTTTTTGCACACAGCAGACTTTGGTTTGACAGCGACGATATGACAGATCCCCGAATCTCGCTAATGACATTAACAAGATAAGCTTGCATTTGTACAAGTTCCGAACAACAACATTCGAACCGTCGGTCTACCGAGCAATAACAGACGCTCGGTTGAAGATCTACCCTTGGTCGTAATACCCAGACATCAATTTAGTGTTTTCTTCGGTATTCGCGAGCCGTAGGAATAATTAAAACTACTTTAAATATCATTCGTTCGTTCTGTGTGAAAAGAAACGTAAAAGTCAAATTTTTTCTTTAATAGCCAAATAGACGGTAATTAGCACAATACTCAATTATCAACGAATAACACTTTAGTCATTCGCAGCCACGAAAACTGTAATTGTGTTCGTAAAGTCGAAAATAATCTTATGACAAAAAAAAAACACCAGATTACAACGTAAAAATAGTTATAATTAACCACTAATCTATATCTATACTAATATTTTAAAGAGGAAAGATTTGTTTGTTTGTTTGTTTCGAATAGGCTCCGAAACTACTGGACCGATTTGAAAAATTCTTTTTCCATTAGAAGCCGACATTGTCCCTGATGAACATAGGCTACTTTTTTTTATTTTATTTTTTTGTTTCATGTGTGTTTTAATGTTTCGGAAGCGAAGCGAGGGCGGGTCGCTAGTTAATTATAAATTACATTTTCAACTCCATCATATTGTACAAGAAAATTATTTTGAGATTTTTTAAATATAGCGTAAATGCCGGATATACTCGTGTCACAGAGTATGGTGTATGATGTAACAGAACCCATCATTTTTGACTAACCAGCCCACTGAGTTTCTCGCCGTATCTTCTCAGTGGGTCGCGTTTCCGATCCGGTAGTAGATTCTGCGAAGCACTGCTCTTGCTAGGCTTAGTGTTAGCAACGTCGTCAGGTTTGAGCCCCGTGAGCTCACTTACTTGTTAGGATTACGCTGACATAGCCTCTCAAGGCTATCAGCTTTTTTTTTTATTGCTTAGATGGGTGGACGAGCTCACAGCCCACCTGGTGCTAAGTGGTTACTGGAGCCCATAGACATCCACAACGTAAATTCGCCACCCACCTTGAGATATAAGTTCTAAGGTCTCAAGTATAGTTACAACGGCTGCCCCACCCTTCAAACCGAAACGCATTACTGCTTCACGGCAGAAATAGGCAGGGTGGTGGTACCTACCCGCGCGGACTCACAAGAGGTCCTACCACCAGTAATTACGCAAATTATAATTTAGTAGGAAAAAAAAAGTTTTTTTTTGACTAACCTGTAAATGTCGCTTTGGCCGGAAGTGTATGAGAGCGCTGTACACCTAGTAGCGTGTGTCGGCAGAACGTCTCTAACGATGTAATCCTCGATGAACTGCAATCCGCGTCCAGACCCGCTGAAGTCGCAGTACACGACTGTAACAACAGACGATAGAATGGCTTATGATTCTGCTCGTAATAGCATGGAAGATTCTAGATGGAAGCAATGCGTCATGAACTCTGCGTGGTGACTGACAAGGACAGGAATAGATACAAATTCCCACATGATTCTTACTGATCAAATACCTACTTATAACTGAAGAGTCTGAAAAGGCTATCTACCTATAGGTTAAGAGATAGGTTAATATAATAGATCTTTTAGAGTTGAAGTATCAGGAAAATGAACGCGATTGTGAAAGCGCGGTAATCTATTTAGGTATTCTATAAACATAAATATTTTTTATTGCTTAGATGGGTGGACGACCTCACAACCCTCCTGGTGTTAAGTGGTTACTGGAGCCCATAGACATCTACAACGTAAAGGCGTAAAAAAAAACACCTTGAGATATAAGTCCTAAGGTCTCTGTATAGTTACAACGGTTGCCCCACCCTTCAGACCGAAACGCAATACTCACGGTAAAAATAGGCGGGGCGGTGGTGGTACCTACACGGTTTTATGTTTATCGTAACATTGAACTACTGAGTGAGTCTGGTAGAAAGATCGCCACTGTATCGATGTCCAAAGATTCGCAATTTCCACATTATAGTTTAAACCTACTCGCGATCGTAATATTTTCCGTACGTGCGATAAAGATAAAACAATTAATTATACAAAATTAAACAACAAATTATATTTACACAAAGTTAAGAATATTTAATTACGTTAAATACGTTAAGGCTTTATCAATAATCGCATAATGTTATCACATAACAACAAACAATGGTGAACTTGTATTTGTTATTCACGTCTGTTGATAAGATCTAAACAAGACGACCTTATGTGATCATACACGAGCCAACTGCAAACGGGCGATGAACTTTATACAATTGTTCTTCTACGAAATTCTCTTTGCATAATCAAGTTGAAATGTATTCAATAGAAATATACAAATCGATCGGGAATATGGCTCATGCCTACTAATCTATATATTAATATGTGAAGCAAAAACTTTGTACCCCTTTTTACGAAGATTGCGCGGACGGATTATTATGAAATTTGCCACACTAATAGAGAATATAGAGAAGAAGTGGAGAATGCTAATTTTTTTTTAAATTATGGATTAATAAAACATTAAATCAATAAAGAAAACATTACACACACTACCATGTATTTGACACACACATAGGTACACTCTTTGTTTATTGTCAAACTTTTGTTATTGCTTAAAGTCTGTGGTCAAATTGAGAATAGGTTAATATTGTTTAACTTCATTAATATTTGTCTATAGTATAGACTTGACTAAATTTGTGCCTATAGAAATATAATAGCCTTTGACAATAGAACCATCATAATGTCCAAATTTATAATTTCAATTAATTATAATCGAATTTCACTACTGCAAGACCACTAGTTAGAAGAAATGTTTCTATTAATCCTGATTAAGACGTACATAAGATGGCGGAGACATGTAGATGCGTTTTTCCTTACTCTAGTGACCTCGAGGCGTCATACTAGATTCACAAAACGGGTAGGTGAGCTCACGGAGCACGATCGGATCGTGTTGAGCGATGCACCGGTGTTCGAATCCCAGGCGGGCACCAATTTATCTAATGAAATACGTACTCAACAAATGTTCACGATTGACTTCCATTTTATCTATACTAATATTATAAAGAGGAAAGATTTGTTTGTTTGTTTGTTTCGAATAGGCTCCGAAACTACTGGACCGATTTGAAAAATTCTTTTTCCATTAGAAGCCGACATTGTCCCTGATGAACATAGGCTACTTTTTTTTAAAAAATTTTTTTTTTTTTTTGTTTCATGTGTGTTTTAATGTTTCCGAAGCGAAGCGAGGGCGGGTCGCTAGTGTGTGAATAAGTTTATCAGATATAATCAAATAGAATTGGAAATAACAGCTCTATATGTAACGGCAACAGAAATAGCGGCTATTTGATCCGTAGTTTCCAAGTCTCAGTTTTACAATACAACGGCTGCCCCACCCTTCAAACCGGAACATATTACTGCTTCGCGGTAGAAATACGGTGGTGGTACCTACTCGTGTGGCCTCACAAGACGCCCTAATAATTAATAGTAATTCATAACAATCTACCAATACCATTACCGTATCAAGTCTTCACTAAAAACTGGGCTACTATACAGCTTTGCAGCTGTCAAAAAGACATATAAGAACATGCAGTTTTCATCCAAAAATCAATTCTATTTCCAGGAAATATTACTGTTTTTCCTTATTGTTGCGTAATTTCTAATTTAAAAAAATATAACGACACTATCTCTCCCTTTTCGAGATTCTATGATTGCATGATTGAGCGCGCAACCAATTACAATTAACATTCCCACAGTAATTTTCCCGCGTCGATTTATTAATGGCGAAACAAACGTCAAATGTAAATCTAATGGTTTTTTTTTATCGTCACGTGTAAATACCATGTTCTTGGCTGTAAAAGTCACGTGAATTCCTTCTCTATGATCACCGACGCATGAGCATATCGACGCTTGAAAGGCAAACGGGACTAAGCAACAATGCGTGAACTTTACAGAAGACTAATTTAAAGTTGAAATACCTGAAAACAAAATTTATTTTAACGTATCTAGCTGTAGTAGAATCTAGCTAGTAGCTGTAGGATTGAAATGATTTTAATAGACCTAGAAATATAAATTTTTTGCGCATCGAATATGGTTATTGCCTATCATTTATGTATAAAGCAGTTGTTGTCGCTTAGTCACGTTTGCCTTTCTAGCGTCGATATGCGTATGAGCACCGACCTATGCCTGACAACAGAATGCCATAAGTGGATAATTCAGCGTCTAAAAATCTAGATGTAAAAGTTGATGTATACAGGTGTAGACTTCGAAACGGCTGGATTGATTTCAACAATTTTAGGAAATCTTAAGATTCGGCTAATCCTCTTTGGTGGCAATCGGATCAAAACAAAGATCGGCCAGCAAATCGGACCAGATTTATAGTAAATCATAAAGTAGCTAAATATTGTTAAATTATCCGAATCTAATTTGCGCATGTAGGTGACTAGACACAGTAATAGCGTTTTTTATAATAATAATTTATATAATAAATTTAAATAATAATGTAATAGTAATAATCTCATTGAATAAACAATATAGTTGTTGGTGTTACGCAAGAAGATGTTGTATCTAGACATCATTGAGATTGGACTAAAACAAAAAGATGTTCATATTATAAAGTAGTAGGTATATTAAGCACGAATACATCTAATAATATTAAAATTAGTGTTTTTTTTTAACTTTATTGTGTGAAAAAAGAGACCGCGTTATGCAAATATGTATAAGCTGAGTTGATTAATTAATATTTAAATGTTAATTTGAAGAAGTTGTATATATCGACGCTTGAAAGGCAAACATGACTAAGCGACAATGCATGAACTTTACAGTAGACTAATTTTAAGTTGAAATACCTGAAAACAAAATTTATTTTAACGAATCTAGCTGTAGTAGAATCTAGCTAGTAGTTGCAGGATTGAAATGATTTTAATAGACCTAGAAATATATTTTTTTTTGCGCCTCGAATATGGTTATTGCCTATCATTTATGTACAAAGCAGTTATTGTCGCTTAGTCACGTTTGCCTTTCAAGCGTCGATATGTATTTCAAACGTAAACATGACAGAGTTCAGTGTTGATCATTCATTAGTAAGCATCAAAACATTTTCAACGGAAATCTTACATATTTATTATTCATTAAAAGAAACGGTCGTGCTTCCAGAATTTAAACTTCTTTGCAAAAATAAAGATTTACATAATTAATTCGAGTCACAACCAACATAATAAATACATTGTTAATAATTATCATACCTATATTCAAAAACAGATTCGACTCGTAATAATTAGAATTCAAAAGAGGCTGTTTGTTTACTTGAAAAATCACATTGAAACACATTAGGTATTCAGATTTGATTCAAAAACATTAATCGTAATCATTTATTTGGTTGGCGAATTGTACCTAAATTAAATCAAAAATATGATCAAGGAATATACCATTTTAACTAGTAGGTCCTTTTATTAGGAAGGAAGGTTTACTGTTGTCTCGAAGGCCTTTTCAGTTTCATCAGGATAGGTGGGCGAGCAAAGGCTCAGCATGTCCTATTTGACAGAGACTATAAAGAAAAAGGTACACTTGCACAAGTGGTTCTTTGAAATAAATAACAAAGGGACAGGGCAAAAATAATGCTAAAGGTGTCTTTAAAAGTATAAGTTTTGGATGTTAATGTAATCTTTGGTTTGTTTTACAATGTCCAAAGTTTGAAAGGTCCAGTTTTTATCATCCTTATAGGCATACAGCCCATCTGATGGTGAGTGGTTACCGTCGCTCATGGATGTCAACAATGCCAGGGTCACGGGACGCCGCTTTTTTTTTCCTACCTATGCTGATAGCCTTGAGAGGTTGTTTCAGCTTCTCCTTGACGTGTAGGTGAGCTCTCGGGGCTCAAACCGGTAGTGTTGCTAACACTGGCCCTAGCAAGAACAGTGCTTCGCAGAATCTAGCACCGGATTGGAAGCGCGACCAACTGAGAAGAACCATCGAGAAACTCAGTGGGCTGTCACGCCTCTGGCTACCATTGAGTACTTCCTACAAATCTCGTTTGAAGAAAAACGAAAGATTAGTTTTAGCGAACAGATTCGATTATGTTTATGTAATAAATTTTGAGGATTGTGGATACAAGTTTTTTTTTTTTTAAATAAACCACCTAATTATAAAGTTTAAGCCGGTGTAAAACGTAAATATTTGTCCTTGTTCACGCAAAAATAATAGCTGTTTATGCCTAAATTTAAATGAAATTAATGGGAATTATTATTTTTGAAATGTCCATGGATTTGATGAATTAGTTCGGGACATAAAATTTATGTCCCTATCTCTCTATGTGTCTGAAGGTTGAATATTTCATAGTCGCGATGTTATTTGATCAACATTATTCATCATAAAAACATTTAGTTCTCATGTT